GGTATTGGTTGCTTTTTCTCCTGATATCGCTCTCAAGCTTGAGAGAGAGCTTTAGGTATTTGTTCCTCGTTCCCTTGATATCGCTCTCAAGCTTGAGAGAGAGCTTTAGGTATTGGTTCTTTTTTCTCCTGATATCGCTCTTAAGTCAAATATCTCATCGAAAACTCTAAACAAAATTAATATACCAATATCATAGAACACAAAAAGGGAAACAGTAGTAAATTATGGAAGCACCTACATACCGTCAACGGAACCGACAATCATACCAGTATTAAAATCATAAGTGATTGTAAAAAAAAGGAAATTTTAGAACCGAAAAGCGTTGCTGATGTATTTAATGCTTATTTCACAAATATCACAGATAATCTTAATATAAATCAAAACAGCAACAATAGTTCCTTTAACAAACTTGATGATTTCCTATCGGGTCATGTACCAGATAACGTGTATTTTTCTATACCACTTATGAGTAATGATTTTGTGTGTTTACAACTAAAAGCACTAGATGAATCAAAAGCAACAGGTCTTGATAACATAAGTGCAAAGTTTTTAAAGATGTCTTCTCATGCTATTTCACTACCACTTTGTCATATTTTTAACTTAAGTATTAAAAAATGTATTTTTCCATCTTCATTTAAACTTGCAAAAGTCATACCAGTTTATAAGAACAAAGGTTCAAAACAGGATGTTTTTAATTACAGACTCATTGTAATTTTACCACTCATTTCTAAAATCCTCGAAAAACATGTGAAAACACACTTAGTAAAGTATCTTAATAAATACAACTTATTGTATAGAATGCAGTCAGGCTTTCGCGTAAACCATTCTTGTCAAACTGCGTTAACAGCTTTATTGGATAAATGGCTTAAAGCCATTGATGATGGCGATCTTGTTGGGGCAGTGTTTCTAGATCTAGCAAAAGCCTTTGATCTTCTCAATCATGAACTGCTTATTTAAAAATTAAACAAATACAAATGTGCTTATACTTCGTTACGATGGTTTACATCATATTTGGCTGACAGATATCAGATGGTATCTATTTCAAATACATTTTCAGACTTACAAAAACAAAAAACGGGTGTACCTCAAGGATCCGTTTTAGGACCTGTGTTGTTTTTACTTTTTATAAATGATCTTCCTTTGTTTAATCCTAATCATAACACCGATTTATTTGCTGATGATAGCACCATATCAGTCATTGGACAAAACAAAAGTTGTATCAGTCAAAAACTTAATACGGTTTTACAAGATATTTTTCGCTGGTGTGATGACAATAAAATGGCTGTAAATGTATCTAAAACGAAGGCTATATGTATTGGCTCTAAACAGAAGCTTTCAGTTACATCAAATGAAAACATTAATATTGCTATGAATAAACAACAAATTAAAGAAAGTACATGTGAAAAGGTTCTAGGTATTTTTATTAATGCATCTCTACCCTGGTCTTCTCATATTGATTATATCATAAAAAGGGTTAACTCTTCTTTAGCTTTACTAAAAAGGATAAAAAAATATTTAAATCACAAAGCTAGACAAATGTTCCATAACGCTTACGTTTTACCTCACTTAGATTATTGTTGTTCAATATGGGGAAACTGTAATAACTTTCTATTAGATAGTTTACTAAAACTGCAAAACCGAGCAGCAAGAATAATTTTAGACGAACATGATTACACCAAACCTTCAAGCGAATTATTTCACGAATGTAACATTGTGCCGATTACACAAACAATACATTATCATAAATCATTACTAATGTATAAGGCAAAACATGGCTTAGGTCCAAAATATATGTCCAGTCTTATTTTATCAGCTTCTGCAAACCAAAAATACAATACGAGATTTTCGTCCTCAGATAATTTTATAATTCCAAAACCAAATACAGAGTTGTATAAGTCTAGTTTCTCGTACAATTGACCAAAAGTATGGAATGCTCTTCCTAATTCAATTAAAAAATCAAACACAGTATTAAATTTAAACATAACTACAAATCTATGTACTTTTAACATTACCATAATATTTGTACTGTAATGCCATATATAATAATTGTTTATTGTATTTAAATTGTATAACATCTTTATTTATCATTATTATTGAATATGTATTGTTTATTTTTAATGTAATTATTATTGTATTAAGAGAGCCTTATTGAAAATTGGTGTAATCCAAATGAGTTACTCTCTCTAAATAAAGATATTATTATTATTATTATTATTATTATTATTATTATTATTATTATAGAGAGAGAGAGCTTTAGGTATTGGGTCTTTTTCTCCTGATATCGCTCTCAAGCTTGAGAGAGAGCTTTAGGTATTTGTTCCTCTTTCTCCGGATATCGCTCATAAACTTGAGCTCTAAATGTTTTGGTCGGGGGGCTTTTATTTATATTAATATAAAAAGTTATAAATTGGGTATGGCTCATGAAAAAAATGGAAATATGATTTATTTAAGAGTGCATTTTATTAAATTAAACTTAAGAACTGAACAAACCACCTGCGTTTTCTGCATGTACATGATATCACTCTCAAGTTTGAGAGAGAGATTTAGGTATTGGTTCCTCTTTCTCCTGATATCGCTCATAAACTTGAGCTCTAAATGTTTGGTTGGGGGGCTTTTATTTATATTAATATAAAAAGTTATAAATTGGGTATGGCTCATGAAAAAAATGGAAATATGATTTATTTAAGAGTGCATTTTATTAAATTAAACTTAAGAACTGAACAAACCACCTGCGTTTTCTGCATGTACATGATATCACTCTCAAGTTTGAGAGAGAGATTTAGGTATTGGTTCCTCTTTCTCCTGATATTGCTCTCAAGCTTGAGAGAGAGCTTTAGGTATTGGTTCCTCTTTCTGCTGATATCGCTCATAAACTTGAGCGCTAAATGTTTTGGTTGAGGGGCTTATATATATATATATTAATATAAAAAAAAGTTATAAATTGGGTATGGCACATGATAAAATGGAAATATGATTTATTTAAGAGCACATTTCATGAAATTAAACTTAAGAACTGAAAAAAAAAACACCTGCGTTTACTACAAGCACATGATATATGTTCTAGTTCTAGCTCATTAAAAAAAAAACATGTTTATTTTTTTTTCTATTTTCTTTCGATGATCTTTTCTATGTAATAAGGTTATCTGTTCATAACTCATTTGAAAAACAAATATTTTTTTTTGTATTCTCTTTTGGTAAACTTCTTCTGCGTAATAAGATTACAATTTTCTACGTTATAATGTTTATACTAGTCAATGTTTCACTGAGCATGCATCCACAGGACTTGCAATCTTAGATTTGTTGTCTGATGTTTATAGTTAATGCTTCACTGAGCATGCGTCACAGGACTCGCCATCGTAGATATGTTGTCTGATGTTTATAGTCAATGTTTAACTGAGTATGTGTCCACAGGACTCGCCATCTTAGATATGTTGTCTGATGTTTATAGTCAATGTTTCACTAAGCATGCGTCCACAGGACTCGCCATCTTAGATATGTTGTCTGATGTTTATAGTCAATGTTTAACTGAGTATGCGTCCACAGGACTCGCCATCTTAGATATGTTGTCTGATGTTTATAGTCAATGTTTAACTGAGTATGCGTCCACAGGACTCGCCATCTTAGATATGTTGTCTGATGTTTATAGTCAATGTTTCACTAAGCATGCGTCCACAGGACTCGCCATCTTAGATATGTTGTCTGATGTTTATAGTCAATGTTTCACTAAGCATGCGTCCACAGGACTCGCCATCTTAGATATGTTGTCTGATGTTTATAGTCAATGTTTCACTAAGCATGCGTCCACAGGACTCGCCATCTTAGATGTGTTGTCTGTTTATGTTGTCTGCTGTTTATAAGTAGGTAGGTGAAATGTATGTTTTATAAAATTTGCAAAAAATACAAAAGTGGGAACTAATTAAATTATCCAAATTATCTTGAAAATATTCCTATACAGCGACATCATACGCTGAGCAAACAGTTCAGTCAGTCCGTCTGTCCATTAAAACTTCCGTAACAGCATTGATTCCATCACGAAGAAGTCAGTGGCATCAATAGAGATTCCATAGAGTCAAACAATTTACATGCTCAATTTGATCTCGACGATTTCTTTATGTTCAATCATTGCAAATGACTATTTTTTTAAGTCAGGTCAACATTTCAAAGATCTGAAAAGAAGATGATTTTTTGATTATTGAGTAGAAACAAATTTTCTGAAAGCAAATATTTTGACTTTATCGTTGAAATTTTGAGTTTAAAATGGTTGAAAATTTCATGACTTAAAAGTCCAAGACTAAAGGTTGAAAATTCCAGTCAAATTAAACATTTCATAATTTCAAATGTCGAAATCTCGACTTCAAAGTTCCATTTTTTTGCTGTATCCCTAATACGTTTCTGTATTACAGAAATTTTAGTACTAAGCACTTTTCAATATGGGAAGCGGTTATTATGTTGGGGCGGCTAGGTGGTTCCACTCTAGTGTCAGATTTTATATCATTATTTCTATTTTGATCTCTATAATTATTAAGTGTTACTATTATTTATATTAATGTTTTATTATTATTATTATTATTATTATTATTATTATTATTATTATTATTTTTTATTTTTTTTATTTTCATTATTATCATTATAATTATTAGTATTTATTTATTTATTTTCAGTATTATTTATTATTATTATTATTATAATTATTATAATCATTATTATTATTATTATTATTATTATTATTATTATTATTATTATTATTATTATTATTTTTTTTTTTATTTTTTTTATTTTCATTATTTTCATTATTATCATTATAATTATTAGTATTTATTTATTTATTTTCAGTATTATTTATTATTATTATTATTATAATTATTATAATCATTATTATTATTATTATTAATATTATTACTATTATTATTATTATTATTATTATTATTATTATTATTTATTTATTATTTTCATTACTTATTTATCATTATTATTATCATATATTTTTATTCTATTTGTAGCAACAAGACTGAATTATTCGCCTCCTCCTTATGCAGATGCATGCAGGGACGATGGTTCAACTAATCAGCATTCGGTTAAACAATCTACACCACCACCCAGTTATTCATCTCTACACCGGTTCCAGTCGGAAAATCATTGAAATATCATAGATAAATTTATAAAAACGTAATACTTCCAGTTCTTGGGCAGTTAGTGAGATTGTATGATGTTTGAAGGGAGAGAACATAAATGTGTGTGTGGTTAGTAGTCCATAGTCATTATTGAACAACTTGTATTTCTTTGTATCGCAAGTGTTAACTGAGTAGTTCTCCTCTGTATAATATCCTGCATATGCATGAAATATTGCTCTGTGTATGGTAATGCATATGCATGAAATATATGTAAGGCTGTTAAGTAGTTCTCCCCTGTATATTGTTATGAATATGCATGCAATATATATATATATGTATGGCTGTTAAGTAGTTCTTCCCTGTATATTGTTATGAATATGCATGAAATATATGTATGGCTGTAAAGTAGTTCTCCCCTGTATATTGTTATGAATATGCATGACCTCTAGCTGTTTCTCTTTTGAGTCACTGTCCTATTATAAACTTTGACATTTTCGAAATGCTAAGGATTTTCTACCCAAGGAATAGATTACTTAACTTCGTACTTTATTTGGCCTTTTTAACTTTTTTTATTCGAGCGTCACTGATGATTCTTTGTAGACTTAACTCGCGTCTGACGTACAACATTTTAATCCTGGTATCTTTTTATATCTACATATCTTTTTTATATAAATTGGTTCTTTTGAGAGTATGTTCAGGTATTCATAAAACTTCTGAAAATAAGATATTCTTCAAAACCAAGTATTCCTGTAGAATATTTGGATTGGTTTAAGTAAAATCAGGAAATCCTTAAAATTTGAGATGTTTTATGAGACCAAAATAAGTCTCTATATAAGAGGTTCTAATGAAGCTGGTGTGTTACTTACTCTCAAGAAAAATATACGAAACCTTCTTAACGTCAAGTGGTGAATATTTCATGAATGTTCAGGACGAACATGGGGGTGAAGAAGATCCTTATCGATTTTAAAGTCATTAAGTGATTTGACATGCAAATGCTAAATTGCATGATAGTGGGAAAAATATTGATTCAATGGTGAAATTTTATATAACCGTAGTCCAATTTCATGAAACTTAGCTTGCAAATGCCCCTTATATAACTAATGAAGTGTCCTATTGATCTTCGGGACAATAAGTTAAAGATCAAAATCACAGAGTATTAAGAAGGTCTGGATTGGGGGTCCTTCTTTTCTTTTTTCCGTTAATTTTGTGTGGCCTTTTTATTTTATCTTTAAAAATAATGCTTCTTCAGTAAACTTCGAAGACCATTTTACTATTAGATTTATTTGTTATCACACGATTTCTTTTTTTCTGTACATGGATCATTTCTGTAATCAGTGTTTTATTACCTATAATTCTTTTGTTACAGTTTTTCTTTATTCTTTTGCACCCCCTTATTCTTCATTTTAATTTTGTTTTTCTCATTTTTCTCGATTCCTTATTTTTTTGGCATCATTCATTATTCTGTAAACCCCGTCCAGACCCTCATATAAATAGACAACGTTCACAATTTTAGATCGATAATGTATCTTTGAGTGGAAGAGACCCTTATTGTGGTTCAAAGGTCAATGTCACAGCAGCAATTAAAAGACTGAAATGAGATTAATTTTCGGATATGACCCATTTGGTAAAAAAGCAGAGGAAATTTTTATAAGTTTTCTTAGAGACTAAACAATCATTTTTATTTTATAGAATTTACCATTATGCACGTCTCTTAAATATCATATAACGTAAGCCACTAGTTCAGAGGGGCTGGACAGGGGGATCCCTGATTCCCGCTTCCCTACCACATCAGGCGGAAGTGGGGGGACCTTTCTATATACAAGGTGACAGGTGCCGCTGAAATAGGTAGCATTTTCCAGCTTGAAAATATGTGAATATGCGGGGAAAACTATTAGAAGTATATGATAAGGTCAATATCTGTTAATTATTCTTCGTCTGTTTATTGGTGTTCCTCCCGGCTGTGTGTTTATCCACAAAATTTTCCCCCTTTGAATCTTTTGTATTCCACTTTTCCAACACACCACACGAAACCCAACCAATATTGGAAAAGGTTACATTTTTACCTACGCAATATACGAAAAGGTATTTATTTTTAACCAGCTTGACTCAAACTCTAAACTCAAAACTATTTGAGATCCCAATAAAAGATATTTTGTCTGGTGTTGCGGTCTATATAAAACAACCCATGGAGTTGCGAAAATAAGGTCCCCATTGGTCAGTTATCTATATATTTATATATATATATTTATATATTATCAATATTAACTTGACTTGTTTAGAACATTTTTCATGTACATGTATTCTATGTTTCTTGTGTACATGTCTGTTATGTTTGCATTTTAACTTTACGTTTGGCATGAACAACTAAGGACAAAAGTATCATTATACAGCTCTCTCTGCCACTTATCTACAAATAATATATTCTGGCGAAACACCCATCCATGTCTTTCAAGTGTTGGTACCTCTAATCAAGATATTAGCCGTCTTCAACCAAAATTAAAGCTGTTAACAGGAACTTATTATTAACAAAGTAATAGGGCTGGATATAACCAAAATGCAATAAATCCAACTTGTCTTCTCTGCAATGAAAACTCAGAAACAGTTGAACATTTTCTTCTAGAATGTAAATGTGAATTAGACAGTTTTCTATGTATATAGCTTTAAAAACTGTGCTAAATGCTTTAACCTAAACAACGTAGTACTAGATAAACAGCTTATTTTAGACCCAAGTAGTTTATCATGCGCTTGTGACTGTAGATGCAAATGTACTGACCATTGCTTTAAAGTAGAGTATATCACCAGGAAACTCTGCTATGTATTACATGTCCAAAGATTAAGAAATTAACTATTACAACAAGTACTCTCAAATCGTACTTTCGTGTTAATTTGACCTGTTGACACAATTTGTGATGCATTTCTGTTACTCAATGTTTACTTATTCTGTGTTATATCTCGTCTAACTATTTTCAATATTTACCACCTTTGATAAGTATTTAGTATGACGATAAATTTTGACTTCTGTACTCGTACTGTGAACAACAAATTAGTTTATTTTGTAAAAAATGTTTCCGTACTCGTAACAACAAAATTATTATATTTAAATTTACCTGTGTACGTTACTTTATTTAACACCATTTTTTTTTATTATTAATACTGTATTTATATTACTAGTATGTCATAAATCAAACTTATTCGTTCAGTGTATGTTTACTTTTTTTGTTTATATGTGTTTTTGATCGAGTTAAACCATTTCAATTGATATTTTATAGTGTGTCTTTTTATGTTGTAATGTTACACTACTGTTTCAGGTAATGGTGAAGGTTGGCGCCTGTTAAAACGTTTAAACCCGCTGCATTTATATGCACCTGTCTTAAGTCAGGAGCCTGTTGTTCAGTGATTGTCGTTTGTTGGTGTGGTTCATAAGTGTTTCTCTTTTCTCGTTTTTTATATGGATTAGACCGTTGGTGTTCCTGTTTGAATTTTATACAATAATAATGACATTAGATGTATGTTTCATTATAATACGTTATTCTGATTGGCTACACTGCAATCTCGCGTTATTCCTTAATCAACTTCGTTACACAATAAATCATGATGACACGAGGTCCCACAATAAAGTGCACAGGTAAATTAAATAAAAACTTGATAAAAATCGTGTTTTTATGATCTTAGCTAAAAAATGTAATTATAAGTATTGAATGCTTCTTTTTGTAACTTCATACAAAATGTACTTCGGTGAACGCTTTTACACCCCAATGAAGTTACAAAAAGAAGCATTCAATTCTTAAATAATTTTGGGGCCCTTTATAGCTTGCTGTTCGGTGTGAGACAAGGCTCCGTGTTGAAGGCCGTACTTTGACCTATAATTGTTTACTTTTTACATATTGTGACTTGGATGGAGAGTTGTCTCATTGGCACTCATACCACCTCTTCTTATTCATATATAAAAAAATTCAAAGAGAACATAGAGTGTTTAAAGTTTGCAAAATTTTTGATGATGAGGAATACTTTTTCCTTCATTGCCAAATCAGCAGTAATATTTGAAATCCCCTTATAAATGCATTTAGCATTTAAAACCCATTATCCCAATTTTAACCAGCTTGACTCAAACTCTAAACTTAAAACTATTTTAGATCCCAATAAAGATATTTTGTCAAGTGTTGTAGGCTATATAAAGCAATTCATGGAGTTGCGAAAATAAGGTCCATATTGGTTATTTATCTATTATATATACTTATATATTATTAATATTAACTTGACTTGTTTAGAACTTTTTTCATGTATTGTATGTTTCTTGTTTATATGTCAATTATGTTTGGATTTTAACCCGTAAGGGTTTTACTTTTAGCATATAAAGTTATATTGAAGGCCATACCTTCTAGCAAACGAAAAGGTCAACGAATGTAGCCAACATGCACCCCATGGGACGTATTCTTTTTAACTTTTTGTATATCCTAGTCCTCTGTAAATATAGTCCTGTAAATATAGTCTTATACTTGAACTTTAGCTTTTTGCCTTTTTAAAACCAATTCTGAAAGACGTGCTCCTTTGAAGGAGGGAATTCCTTATACAGATATAGATTTATAGAGTCGGTCCGAGTAATTCCGTACACTTTTGGGTCGAAATGAATCTCATTTGGTTCCCTGTTTGATACTACAATATTTTAGAAGGAAACCGGTAACTAGATCATTCGTAGATAGTATTAATGTTTGACTTTTTCCTTGCCATTCAACGTAAAATACCGAGAATTAGCATATCGAACAGAAAAGTCACTGAGGTTAATATCGTACGGATGTCGTGTATTTCCGTACACCTTGATGTCAGTGTAATTCCGTACATTTGGAAATAACTTGGACTTGTTAATTTATTACCAAGATCATCTTCAAGTCTTTCAATCTTTACTTAAATTCACAGTATATCCATATCCAGAAATCAACGCCACTTTGCTTATTTGAATATTATACTAAAGAAATCGGATACGGGTCACGGAAATTATATTGAAATGATAGGGAATTTAGAAAAAATGTCTGTTTTAACTTTGATTTAAGTGATAGACAGGTTGCCGGGGCAGAAAATAAATATACACAACAATATACACCATTTAAACTAAATATAATGACTGGCGTTGCAAAAATCAAGGTTCCTGAGCTATTTTAAAAATCGAAGCGAGAGGCTTTTAACATTGCAGTATAAAATACAGACTAAAATGGCTGAAACGTCAAATTTGCAAACTTCGAGTTGAAAATTGGCTAACAAGGTCATTAGAAATACAGGTTGCCGGGGTGAAACTTGAAACTTGAATGTCCAAAGAATAAGCAAGTCCAAACCTTGTATGTGTAGTCGTTGAACTCTAGGTTCCCACGTAAAGTTAAAATGCCTCTATTTCAAGAAGAATAATCTCACGAAAACACGAAAAATTCACTAAATTCGCGTTCATTGTTTTGATTTTGACCGCCTGACAACTTTACGGAAATATCAGAGTGATTATAAACAAGGACTCTGTGACGGGCAACTTATAATATCCGTGTTTTAAAGATTTTAATGATATCAAGCCAGTCCAGTTCAAACTATTATCACGTGGTACAATTCTCATTTACATATTATGAATATTAATTAGCAAAAGTACTACTAATTTCTGGCTATGCACAGCTTCATGTCGTGATGTAGATTCTGGCAGTATATTTGGTTCATAGAATCAAAATTAACATATTTTTACCTCTTTCTTCTATCGAATTGATGTTGTTTTATGCATTTTTTTCTGTTTATTTTATTTTGCAATTAATTTGATTATTTAACAAAAATCATTGATATAAGCAAAGCTAAGTCAAAATTTATATCACTTAACGAACATTAACATATTTAAGAGCTGACGTGTACGATATTAGACTCCTTCCATTTGTATTTAAAATATCCTGTAGGGTAATACCGTACACCCACTTCCAGTCCGTTTTATTGGAAATTATTACACTTATAAATACTTCACGGAAAAGTATCTGTCAATTCAAAACTAATTCTGGCATTCGGTTTCCATCAGTTTTCTAAGTTTCGATTAAAATAGAAAGTTCTTACTTTAAATTAACAAAACTTCAAATTTACACAAATCTGGTGACTTTTTGGACGAGATCATCTTCTCAAAACGCCAGCGAACAAAATTTTCCAACAAACCGTGAAACGGCACATGTGTACATATTCTATGATAGAAAATCGTAAACACGTGAACATACAAGGTTATACATATCTCATTATCAGTAAATAATATTAAAACCCACTTTATTTCTCAATTTTATCAGAAAAACAAGCAAAATGTAATATGTACGGTAATTACCCGCCTGTACGAAATTACCCGGATCGACTCTAGCCTTCCGTTATAAAGACGTCACCAGCGTGTTTACCATATGTACATGTGACGTCATAGAAAATGGAAAGTACAGTGCTTTGACGACGCAGAAGAAAAAAATGAACGGTATTCAATAAAGTCGGTAAGACATCTCTGTTTTATGAAATTTGTTCAAATGCAATAGACGTATTTACACTTGTATGCAAATTTGTCCGCCATTACTTAAAATCACACAAGTTCCCGTAATATTTGACATCACAATTTAAAGAATTTGACGTCATAATTAAAAAGTGATTGTTGCTTGACGTCAGATATTCGGAGCAATTCTAAGGTCATTCGGAGACAAAATTCAGAACCGCAAGTGTCAAGAATTCTCTAAATAATAACGTCACAATACCTAAATTGCACCCATTTAGAAAAAAGAGCAGCGAAAATCTTACAATCTTTCTTATAGTTATGGAATAAACAATTTGTATTTTTATGATTTGACATTATATCCTACCGTAGTCTATAATCGGTCATAATGTCGGTTCGTTCGGACTTTGTTATTGTAATTATCACACGGGAAAACACCGCATTGACGTCACTACGCTATAATACCAGCGTATAAAATTAGTGCAGAATACGTTTTTTCTACACTTCCAAATAAAATGATATTTTGTACAAAAAAGCAGATTTTCTAATGGCCATTTCAAACCTGACTTCCGAGTGCCTCCTAAAAACATTTTAGAACTTCAGAAAACCCCTCTTCCGGCCTCAATTGCTTTGTTTACATTCCATTACGCGTCATCATACTTAATGGCAGACCAAACAGGCCAAGCAAATCGTATTTTAAATAATTTCAAAATGACAAGCACCTTACGTCGTCAAGCGATTTTCCCGCGAAAAAAGCATCCAAAATGAAAGAAAATCTTTGGGAAACAAACGATGAACACAAATGTCAGTGCACATGTACATGCAATATTTTTTTTCACGTCTTTCATCATAGCTAAATGTATCTAAATACACACAAAACATTCACAGTGTATATATCAACATATGAAGTATTCACTGGAAAATGTAAAATCTACGGGAAGGTCGGCATGCGACGTCCACAAAAAGTAATCTTTTAAAAATAAGCAATTAAAATATGTCACAGACATTCATTTCTCAATAAAAGAATGGTAAGCATGGACTGTTGTCAAATTGTTCTAAATCATTGTAAATATTTGGAGAAATACAAATCATTAGTAACTCGATTTTTTACGTATGTGAATTTAAGCATGGATGTGGATGCAATTTGGGTGCTCCTCATTACAAGAACCATGTATAGTTTGGAGGTTGGTTTAAACCCATTTTTCTATGATTTAATATGGAATGAAAATTAAATTGGTGGAACTATAAAATTGATTATGATACATCTACAAAATAAACACAAAATGGAAACTTTTGTCTTAATCATAAATAAACGTAGGTGAAAAAACTATCAAAATAGGTGCAATTTAGATACCCTCACGTTATATTCTACCGAAATTTACCCAAAGTAATTTACTTTAAATAAATCAAATGCAAACAGAAATAACTGTCCTTTCCTAGATTTGGATATTTCAGTTCTACACAAAAGTTTTGCAAGACGATTTTTCGTTCCCTTTGTAAATTTTCTTTTTTTGGACGGTGATGTTTCTTTGACACCATCTTACGGTGTTAATTTATCCCAAATTGTGGAAAACATATCATTTACCCAAAGTAATTTACTTTAAATAAATCAAATGCAAACAGAAATAACTAAATTGTTCTAAATCATTGTAAATATTTG